ATAACGAGAAAATTTAAGAAGAAAATTATTTAATTCTCTGAGCATTCCAGGTAGTTTATGGACAAATCAAATTTCCTGCGGATTCCCGGTTTTCCAGGTTTTTGCAGTTAGTAGACTAATACCGTGGGTTTGGCCATAAACTTTCTATTGTATCTTTCGCTTTAAAGGTTCATATCGTACATACAGTATGCAAAAAAAGTTTATCCACCCCCCTACCAATTTACATTTTTTTTTGTTTTTCTGGTGAAAATCAGTTTAATTTTATGAGTGTTCCTCCATGATTTATCAATTTATGTTTATTTATCACATTGCCATTGAAAATACGGCGTTTATATCTTTTCTTGAGATTTCATGTGATAAATTATGAAAAATGGTGAAAAATTACGCAAAAAAAGTTTATCCACCCCCAAACGGATACTATGATTTAAGTGTGTTTTACAGAGTTTTAGTGTGTATTCTGCAACTTTATCGAATGTAAACATTGTGCTTATCTGTCATTTAGTGCTCTTGAAGCTTTCGTGCTCAAAATTTCAGTTTTGTGTTCACAATTGGAAGTTATTTGTTTCAAAATGCCCAAAAAAGACCAACTTTCGATCAGTATCCGAAATTTGATTATTGAACATCACAAAACTGACAAAAGCTACCGTGATATTGCTGATATTGTCCAGCTTCACAAAGATACGGTCGCTAGAATTGTGCAGATGTACACAAAACGTGGTTCTATCTCGCCAGCTAAGCGATCGGGCGTCCTTCAAAGACAACTGGCCGAATTGACAGAGCTATCGTGAAGAAGGCGGAGCTGGACCGGGGACTATCCGCTCCGAAAATTGCGAAACAGATTGAAAGCGAGTTTTCCATTCAACTGACATCACAATCCGTACGAAATCGTCTTCATAAGAAAAGTCTTAAGGGCAGAGTAGCTCTTAAGAAGCCATGGTTGTCCGCAATATATATCAAAAAAAGATTGAAGTGGGCCCAGGACCACATTTCATGAACCAAAATTTTATGGTATCTGATGGTATGGTCTGATGGTATCAATGGTGACCCAAATAGCATTACTTTCGTCTCGTCTGACCAGATTACCTTATTCCAGTCATCACTGGTCCATTAAATGTGGTCCTGGGCCCACTTCAATCTTTTTTTTTTTAATTTTTTTACGGACAACCATGGCTTCTTACGAGATACTTTGCCCTTAAAACTATTCTTATGAAGACGATTTCGTACGGATTGTGATGTCAGTTGAATGGAAAACTCGCTTTCAATCTGTTTCGCAATTTTCGGAGCGGATAGTCCCCGGTCCAGCTCCGCCTTCTTCACGATAGCTCTGTCAATTCGGCCAGTTGTCTTTGAAGGACGCCCCGATCGCTTAGCTGGCGAGATAGAACCACGTTTTATGTACATCTGCACAATTCTAGCGACCGTATCTTTGTGAAGCTGGACAATATCAGCAATATCACGGTAGCTTTTGTCAGTTTTGTGATGTTCAATAATCAAATTTCGGATACTGATCGAAAGTTGGTCTTTTTTGGGCATTTTGAAACAAATAACTTCCAATTGTGAACACAAAACTGAAATTTTGAGCACGAAAGCTTCAAGAGCACTAAATGACAGATAAGCACAATGTTTACATTCGATAAAGTTGCAGAATACACACTAAAACTCTGTAAAACACACTTAAATCATAGTATCCGTTTGGGGGTGGATAAACTTTTTTTGCGTAATTTTTCACCATTTTTCATAATTTATCACATGAAATCTCAAGAAAATATATAAACGCCGTATTTTCAATAGCAATGTGATAAATAAACATAAATTGATAAATCATGGAGGAACACTCATAAAATTAAACTGATTTTCACCAGAAAAACAATTGTAAATTGATAGGGGGGTGGATAATCTTTTTTTGCATACTGTAAGTGTTTATGAGATACTTATTGAATAGGTCTAAAACATCAAACATTTATTTTCTCTTAGGTCACTTTTTAGGTCACTAATTGATCACTTATTTCTTCAACATGGTCACTAAAATCACTATTTTTGACAGCAGTGATCGTTACCAGCCCATGTAGATGACGTTGCACAAACACCCATATATGATGTTTGCTAAATTTATTGCTCCAACTATGTTAATCGTTAACTTCGTGTATGAAGTAACACGAACATAATTAGTTAAAGTACATAAAACCTGTCATTTTTGCTTTCAGAGAGTCACAATCAGCGATTTTATGATTCGTGGACGCTCACTTTGCGAAATTATTCAAAATTATAAGCACGTCTTCTGAATTAAATAAGTTTCTTATTATAAGCTTAATATAAGCCTTGAGCAAATATGATCAGGAGTAGCTATTCTAAAGGCTCTCTGAGCATTTGATTTACACGAAGTACTTATTTTCCTGATTGATGTGAGATGTGGAATACCTGTATAATGAAAAAGAGAGAGAGAGAATTAGTAATTTTCACTTAATTCTACTACCTTTATTGCTTATCCTTGACAGTTACGCGTATTTCGTCTGCAATGTGCAAACTTCTCCAGTGTCTTGTACTAATACTCGACTGAGGAAACCATCGCTTCTTAACGATTAAATATTAAACCTAGGTACATGTTTCACTTAAGCGCTAGATAAACACTAGGTACACGAACGTAAATCTTCTGTAGAAGCAGGAGGTCCACTGCTCATCATGTATGTCAATTTCCTTGATCCATGTTGAGTAAATTGGAAGCCCGTTGTTTTTTGATCTCGAGACTCTCTGCAACGCCCAATTTATATCGTGTGTACTAGGGTGGATCAAGTTTATGGCCCTTATTACGAGTGTTACTTAACGGTGAAAACGAAGTGAAGTGACCACTTGTCACTCACGGTGAAGTGATTGCCGTGTAAACCACGTTGTTGTCACTTCACCGTGAAGTGACATCGGTAATAAGGGCCTATAAGGTGGATCTCAACCCCACTGCTTTTTCGATGCGTATTGAGGTCCCGAACAGCCGTATTGGGGCCTCTCTACAAAGCAAGACCATGCTGGAGGTGGCTGGGTTCGATTCCCGGCCTTGTCTAGGAATTTTTCGGGTTGGAAAATTTCTCGACTTTCCTGGGCATAGAATAGAGTATGATTGTACTTGCCACTCAATTATACAAATGGTACAAATGGTACAGTCATCGAAAGCTCTCAATTGATAACTATTGAAGTGCATCTAGAACACTAAGTTGGGAGTATGCAAGAAGCTAATATGCAATGAGCAATAAGCTCAAAATGTGAGGTAGAAGAATAAGACAACTGAGAAAATGTTTGAGAAAATTTGATTAGGGTCTGGATTTGCAGGAAATTTATATGGGAAAATGACACGAAACTATTCATTTGCTTGCAAAAATTTAAAAAAAAACTCTATTTTAGCCAAACTTTGGATTATATTGGGAATTCAGGCACCCCAGTAGTATGGGCTACCCACAATTATGGGTCACTTCCATTTGATAAACACGTAGAACTGACTGACCCACAATAGTGACTAGCTGGTCCATAATACTGGGGTGACTGTACTATGCAGAAATTTTTTGTCAAAGACCGCAATTCATTTTAACTTCTGTCAAAAAGGTTATTATTATTGTACTACAGTAATGACCCGACCCCTCTGTCCACCAGGCTCTTATCTTTCAATTATTTCACATAACTGTAATTTCAAATCTACCGCATTCATCTTCAAGATGGATGTATAAGATATACTTTGGTACAATAAGACTACTCTAAAAGGAAATGGGTTTCTTAAAGCATTAGAAAAGATTTTCAAAATGGGGGCTGGCAAAATCGAGTGATTACTGTATATACCTATTGCTCAGTACCTACATACAGGCGTAGCTTGTAGGTATGAGTGAAGCAATTGACCAAAGTGAAAGTTTAATAACTTTTTAAACATAAGTCGAATCTCTTTGCAGTATTGGACAAAGCTGTGCTGCATAGTATTCCCTATCAAAGTCCGATGTTTCGTTAAAATTGAGCAATTTTTAAATATTTGGTAAGTAAATGAATAATTTCGTGACATTTTCCAGCCATTTCCACATACAACATTTAATATTCTCCAGTAAATCCAGATCATGACCAAATTCTACTCAAAATTTTACACAGATGTTGGGGACCTCAATGTGCATCGGGAGAGCAGTGGGGAGCATGAGGTTTTAAAATTGACCCACCCTAGTATGTACAATTTGGGTCTTTTCCCTGGTCGGTTACTCTTTTGTTATCGTTTTCAGCTAAGCAAAAGCATTTCCCCCGTATCTCTGCTGCGGTTAGATAACTCGCCATTCGAACACGCCGTGTGTCAACCGTTCCGCCACAAATACTTTTTCAAATGTAGCCAAGCCTAATCTTGCCGATAAATCAGGCAGCTTAATCGTATCCCTCATTCTGAGCATAAATCGGATAAAAGATTGACGGATAAAAAAGATACCGCTTCCGCCATCGTACCGTTTCCCGTTTGAAGTTGACTTGAATCTCTAGACTCCGGGAAATGCGGGGCCGAAACTATAATAATAATGCCGTGATTTGTCTTTCCGACGGGTCACGTAAGGGGAATGAGATGGATTGTGCCTACCAAAAGTCATTTCGTTTCATTTCAGCAGTCGTTTCCCCACGTCCAAAGTTTTTGTTTCACAATATTAGCCAGGGGAAGGCACCATTTCCGTTTGCGCCCTCAGCAGACCCCAACGACGACGACAACAGTTGTCTTGTTTCACCACCAACTTTGCAAGACATCATTCCGTCTTGTTCATTACGGGTGGCATTTCGGTGGAACGCGATGCCCTGGGAAAAGTTTTCCCTTTAAGGCGAAAAGTTCTAATTTTTTAAATTTATGCTTTTAATATGCAAACCTGATGTGCCAACAAGGCTCGGGCCGATTCACTGGGGGAGGATAACGAAATCGGATCCAACGGCTAGCAGACATGTGATTGCTCTGTGTCTTGTCACATGGGGCACGGAGCTTCAGTTTGTGATTAGCTTCCGCCAGGGATGGTTGCTTGGCTTGGATCAACAGATTGAACACCGAGCACGGTCATGGCTTCTCCGGCATCGTTTATTAGCTTGGAAAGCGATGGAAGTGAAGTGCGGTCAATTTCAATCATTTATATAAATTACATGCAATTATTGGTGATGTGCTAATCCTCGTTACAAACTCTATTCCACAGCATCGCGGATCTTCGATGCAAAAGCCGGGCAAGGGAGAACCCGTCGACAACGATGAATTCGACTCGTGGGTCAAGTCCAAACAGCTGCTCAAGCCGGACGATCAACTTGACCTGACGGATGGTGAGCTAGGCGAAGAGATTCCCAAACTCCTTTCGACGGAGAACAGGCACCTGCCGAGGAATTTGGTGATCTACAATTTCCACGAGGGAGCCTACGTGCCAGCACCTCCACCGGAGAATACCATCACTTTGCTGCAGTTCGAAGGAACATCGCTCCATAAGGATACTCCCGAGGCGAAGGATCAAATTGCACGCAAAGGAACCGATGGTAATTAGGTTTCTTGTTCGTTTGAGAGAGAGCGGGTTATGTGAAGGAAATATATTTTTCCCGCGATAACACCAACGAGTCACAGAAGACTAAACATGCAGGATACCTTTTTGTGAATGACTCAGGACATGATTTTTGCATGAACTTTTGGAATGGATTTTAAACATTTTTTTTTAAATCGATTAGATTGCATTGTGGTTCGAAAACAAGAATTCAAATGAGCAATGTGAATTTGAACGTTGAGAAACTTATGGAGTCCCAGGAAGGGATTGATGTAGCCTTGTTAGATTTCGTTTGATGAAACATGTGAATTTATTAGTGAGTTTCAATTTTTTTTTTCGTGTGTATGCGGGTGTTAAATTTGTTCATGCTAAGATGAATAATTTCAATAGAGTGTGTCACTAAAACCAAACAAAGTATTTAATAGATTATTGAGTTTCTATATTTCCTGTTATATTTTTCATAGGTGAAATGTAAAGATTTTTTTTTATAAATATGTTCCAACGATTTTTTCACAAAATATCTTCTTAGTCCAATTCAGATGACCAAAACAACTTGATTCTTTGTTTGACTTACATCAATTTATTTAAAAACAAACGTCTAAAGATCATATTACAGAATCTGTTTGATGTTTACACAGTATATTATTGCTTATGTTCAGCATATTTTTTTTACAGAAATTTAAAAAAAATGGCGCATTTTCCTGTCTGGCTTCACGTACTCCATATAATAAGTGTGGTACTATTAGAATCTACGAGTCTGACATCAGCTCTATCTGAAGATTGGATTGACATAATAAATAAAGCAAAGTATCACAAAATTACTCCGACGGGTTTCTGATGAAATCGTAAACTTTTAAATTCCCGTCATAATCTGTTGCACATACTGCTGGTCGATCTCAACGGCCAGTTTGTTTCAACATTTGACCATTTCTGTAGCTTCCTCAGGCTTCTTCAACTTACACTTGATAATTGCAAAAATAACATTTTCTCGATTGGACGGAAATGAGGGCAATGGGGTGGATTAATTTCTTTTTAGATTAAATCCACCCGGTTGCTGTCACGGTACCACACAAGTTTTCTCGGCTTTAGTGCCAGCTTTCCAGAGCTGGTCAAAACTACACAGGTTCTTTGTGTGGCTTTTTGATAGAATGAGTTTTTTTTCTAGGCAATCTTGCGTTCACACCTTTGAGTTAATTGTCTTGTTCGTGATGAAAGTCTGGGCTTTTCGTTCGCAGCTGCAAATCCCTTGCCAGATCTTAAGATTCCGTGTAAGTTTATCACCGAAAACGGAAATAAATTTTCCGTGAACATCTTCTCGTGTTGTGTCCAGAGAGAATTAGGCGGTAGTTTCAGGCTAATGTATCATAGTGTAGTATTGCAAGTTTGAAAATTCAAATTTATAAATTAATAAATTTGGCCTTTGAGATACACTTGTTTTATTACTATGCAATTTAATTGAAAGATAAAACTTTTAGTGTTGATCCTAATCCTATTCCTCTTTCGAACGAATCTGTTTAATGGACGTAAGCCTTGGTACTGATTGTTGTAATTATTTGACAACCATTTCGAGCGACTGCACCACTCAGCGCATGTATATGATCTTCGGCTTTACTTCGTGAAGCAGCTTGTCAACAATTTGGTCGTTTCTTTCAACCGCCCTGAGCGAGCAAATTCCAAAGGCTGTTAGTCATGATAAAAGGGAAGAAGATTATATCATTATTGCTTTCCATTTCTGATATTGCGTTATCATTCGGCTCGTTGATCGCTTGTCATTTTGTCATTTTGAGATATTTTTGATTCCTTGGTAACCATACATAGAATTTATTGTACTTACAGTAAATCGTATTGCACACAACGATAAAATAACTATAGAATTTATTGTTTCAACAATAAAATCTATGGTAAATGGGGAAATCTACAATAGTTGTTATGTATCTTAGCCGTACGAAAAATCTCTTCTTGCCGAACAAACTTGAGTCATTTACCATTAATTTTATTGTTTTTCTATTGTTGAAAGCTCATACTATTTGGAACGTATTGTAGATCTATTGTAATAACAAGATTTTAAATTTACTTGCATGATATAGGTACATATCCAAGTAAAAATTCTGCAGCCCCGTAACGTGGGTAGATCACCTTTTCGAGGTACGTTACAGGATGTAAGATCTACCACCGTAAGCCTAGTCCAATCTACTTCAAACTAGGGGAACAGGGTTGTTTTGTAATCAAAGGAACACATCTTAGTCCTTTTTACTTTTTATGCCTTGTTGATAGTGACAAGACTCGGCTTTGTCCTCCGAGGATGATCTTGAAACAAGGAAAAAAATAAGTTAGTTAGTCTTCATCTATGTGATTTCTAATCTTCTATTCGTTGTTCCCTAGTTTGAAGTGATTAAGACTAGGGTTTTGATGCATGGTCATTATCGGTGTCATTCCTTAATTTTGTTGCTAAGGAATCCAATTTTGATTGACAAAGGGGCGCGCCTTTGGAGGGAGTTTCAACACTCCGAAGGGTATGAATAGCGGGACCTTTCATTAGAGTCGAATCCTTGTGATAAATACAAGAATGACAATTGTATCAAAACCGAATACTTCATCATTTCTCAATAGTGATGAGTAATACGACATGCACTAAACTAAAGAAACGGGATATACTACAATAGATCAAATTACTGGTCGCAGTAGTGTTAGGTTCCGAACAGAGGAAAAACAATTCTGCAATCATTTGGCATCCACTCTGATTTATGATGGTTTTATAATGGCAATGAACAATCCATTTAGTTTAAATACAGCATTTCACAGTGTAAAACATTTCTGCTTAGTAATTCACCTTTTTGCTGTTTAAAAAACCTTTTATAGTCTGGCAAGAAGCCAAAAACTGTCTTGTTTAAAATTAAATTTAAAGTAGCTCTCAATCCCACCATAGAACTGTTCTATAAATCAATCATAAACTTCATTAGCGTTTTTTTATTAATATCTTCATAAAATACTGTATAAACGTGTCCGATCATTATAAAAGCAACCATAAAACCATAAGGTTTTAAATGAGAGCAAAAAGCATATATTGTTGCCTTTTAAGCTTTTTAAAGTGTATGATAAAATCTCCTCTGTTTACAAATTAAACTTTAAAGATGGATCCTCATAGTGAATGAAAGCCAATTTAATGACAAGGTTTTCTCGAAGGATAAACGAAGTAGGATGATACGTCTGGCTGAATGGGTTCCATCAACGACTGAGCATCTGGTGGAGAAGAGTGGAGTGAACGTGGTTCTCTAATTCATAAAACATTGGCAAAGCAGTCTGAAAACAAACCAGCCTTTTCCACACATTGCAAATAGATTTTTTTTTGTTAATTATTTTATTTGTACAGGCCCAATCGAATAAACTTTACAGAGCCAAGTTATCATATGCGTTATACACTTATGATGTCTTAAATCTAAAATTAAAGGATCTTAACCGAGTACTCGCGGTCTTCTCGAGGATAGTGGATGACAATTGTATGGATTGGGAGAGGGAGAAGTAGATTTGGAATATGATTTATGGTTAAAAAATTTCACTACTTCTAAACCATGTACTTAATCCTATAACGTTATATCAATCCTGCGAATAGATGACGATCGGAATAACTTGCATCAGTACCGACAGCAAACAACTGAAACTGTCAGTTAGCGGACATTAGTTGGTTTCCGATCCATGGCAGCGATTTTATTCGGCGAAAGGGTCATCTCTTCGAAAAATTTCATTCAACCGTACATTCCTGCATCGATTGATGGTGCACTTCCAGAACCATCCGGAAGAAGGCCAATTCTATGAGAACTATTTTATAATTTTGGAAATTTGACAGGGTTTTGACACGATCAGTTTTTATTTTTATTATTTTGATAAGATCGGATGGTAATTATGAATCCTTTTTTATCTCGATTCATGTTTTTCTAGTGGATTTAGCAAGCGGTTAGGGTAAATGGCTCGGATAATGGTTTGAATTGTTACCAAATAGCTTTTATTGTAGCTTAAATACGGGTTTTAAATGGCTATCAATGCGTTTGTCATACAACCATTTTGCAGTAAATCAATCTTGAAGTGCTTCGAGAATACACCCTTCAGAAACTTCTCCAGGGTGGGCTAACTAGACAGATTCTAGGATCAATGAGGTTTTGGTGGATGTATCAATGGCAAGGAGTCTTGACCAGGGTTTTATGAATGTTAGTTTATAGTAGCTTTGTAGTATTTCATAAAACTTAATATGTTTCATGGGACAATAAGATCGTCTGTTGGCAATAGGTTTGTTGTGATTGTATTTTATTTTATCGTAATTGTATGATATTTTATCGGGGATGTGATAAAACTACGGACTTTCCTCATGAAAAATGTCAAAACAACACCAAGTCAGTATGTTCCAAGTAAGCCGGCGTCCCTTAGTTACATAACGCAAAAAATCTAAATGTTCAACCCCCTCTCTCCTTTATATCAAAACATAATTCCCTTCTATTTATTACGTAACGTTCTTAAAGTCCCTCCTCTCATTTAATGAAATTCATATTTTTCAATACATTTTTGATTTGGTGTAGCTTCTATATTTTAATGTGATTTAATATATTCAATAGATAAGCGTAGATCGAGCTATCCAAAAGTTAGAAATTAAAACACATCCATTTTGCAAGCAAAAATTAGTGTTGAAATTTGTTACCTGTATTTTAAAATTTTACATAAAAATGCTCAGGAACAAGAAGAGGAGGCTCAGGCGGCCCCCGAGGAGGAAGCTCCAAAGGAGAAGCTTACCAACCAGTTCAACTTTTGCGAACGTGCTGCGTTGACAATAGCGAATCCGTCGAGGGTAAGAGTGACTCACATGTGGGTTAAATTTAACAGCAATTGAAAAATATTCATTTCAGTCCGTCGATACTCAAACGATCCAAACGAACATTAATGTTAAAATGTGTATTTTAAAATTTTACATAAAAATCAAAAACACATGCAAGCTTCATTGCAACTGATTATAACTTGAAAAAAATATCAATAAACTTATAATGATTTTTCAAATATTTACATGGGAATTTCACTTCGTAACTTCGACTGCTATTTTTTCAATGCCTACTATTTCCATATGGGACTAAGGATGTGTTCCATTTGGTGCATTTTCACTTAAATTGGACAGATGGAAAATTTTGAAATAAGCCTGCTATTGTGCCAGACTTATTTCTCGCGTCACCTTTCAAAACGTCCTACTTAACAAATGTAAACAAATCGAGTCAAGCGATACAAACTATTGCTCTTCTATCATTGTATGTGATACAAAAAAAAACATCCATCCAAATTTACTTTCATTTATTGATGATAATCATAGGTTAAAAATTATCAAATATACAGTTTGAAATTATGGGTACATGATTCTTACATCGGTCATTTGGACTGCCTAACATGATTGGTGCTCATTTTCTAAAAACGGGGCCAATCTAAAGTTAGGTACTCTACTCTGAAATCTGTGAAAGGGAATCTAGTATCATGTAAACAAAACGTCCAATGTAACATTTTCAATGTACAACTATATGTGGTTTTATTTACATTGTAGCATGAAATTTAAAGTAAAATTGTGATTTTACCGTTTCTACTGAATTTTAAACGTTATTTTTCACTGACTACATTAAAAATAGTATTGCAAAATGTATTGTTTCTAAACTGTTAAAATAATAATCTGCCGAACTTCGACTTCGATTTTCTCAAAATGGTGGATATGTTACATTGGTCTATTTGAAAAGTGACGCGGATTTATGACCGACCAGCCGGCACCGGGGGTGTAGTGGTAAGCGTGACTGCTTTCTAACACCCCCATGGGTCTGGGTTCAATCCCAGCCGAGGTCGGTGGGATTTTTCTGAGGTATAAAAATCTCTGGTCACGTCTTCCTTCGGAAGGGAAGTAAAGCCGTTGGTTCCGGCCCATGTATGTTGTGAATGGGTGCGATATCCTACGCAGGTGTGGAAGCTGCCTTCCCGCACATTCGATTGCCGTCATTGTATGGCAATCGATGTCCGTCGGTGATTGGCACTAGATTGCGGAACAGAGACCGACGTTAAATAAAGGAATGAATGAATTATGACCGACCAGGAATCAACTTTGACAAACAGCTTCTTGAAAATCGGAAGATCAACAACAGAGGGATCTCGGAACACAATAATTGATTTTCGAAGCGTTAAATTTAAGTGAAAATTCACCAAACGGAACACAGCCTAAATATTTATGGACGAATAAAAGTTGTTCAAATCAACCGCAGTGCATTTTGACAGTTCGATTGGAACAACTTTTGGCAGACGTCCATACCTTTGCTGTAGGGCTTTAACTGACATGTGATTATAGGCATTGCAGTCTTGATGGATCTTGGGGATAAAACCAAGGTTGCAAATACTCATTTCAGCTAAAATAATGTTTTTCGGAATAATAAAACCAAAATATGGTATGATGGTATGTTTTACTTGTAACTTACAAGAAGAGGTTACAAAGTATGCGTTTGAAACATAAAACCTGTAAATTTTGCTTTCTTTGAGTCACAATCAGCGATTTGCTGATCGCTGAGTGAGTGAACGAGTGAGTGAGTGAGTGTGTGAAAAATCGCTGATTGTGACTCTCATGAAGTGAAATAAACAGGTTTAATATGTCAAACACATTATTTGCAACCTCTCTTGTATCCTACCAATTCAAAATATTATCATGGCATCTAATTATTTCATAATTAAAAAAAAAAACATTGTATTAGCTGAAATGAGTATATGCAACCTTGGATAAAACTTGTTTGGAATAAGTATGTATGATCTTTACTACATCTCCGTTACACGTGTTTGACGAAACGCTCCCATGCCCATAAGTTTCTCATAGTTCCGGCCATGTAACTGCGCTTGTGTCCAATTGAACGCGTGAGTTGCAAACCTTAACATTGCCATTACAATATCCGATAATCCGTTCCCGATACGAGCGATTCCGAAATTTTCCATTCTCACCTTTCTTTTGTTGCATGACTCACTCACTCATTCGTTTCGGCCAAAATGCCATCCATCTCACCCGAACGAAATTAAATTGAATGCAAACTCAAACCGTCCCCACCACCACCACCACATCACATAATCCAATCAAGAATTGAATGTCACCTTGGATAAACCACCGGAACCAAGCCCGGAAGAGGAACAAGCGCCGCCCAAGCCGGAGACACCGGACGGCGAAGATGCCGAGCGGGACGAAGGTAATTTCCATGTTTTGCTTCACAGTTGCTGTTGGCAGTCCTATACATTGTACATTGGCTTCATTTCGCAATCAGTATAAGCGCGTGCTCTATTGCTGGCTCTACTTTATATAACTTGTACCCATTTTTTCCGATTCTTTTAACTTTTACTTTTTTTTTCTGTTGTACTGTGTAGCTCCCCCTCTCAGTATTGCTCCCGTTTTACCTATCTACGCTGAGTACTCGGTGTACGCAGCGTCCGCTGTTAATATAATTTTCCGGTTTGTTGTACTACAGTGATGATTAGTCCTTAGTAGAGTGATTAGTAATTCCTGTTCCATAGTGGTAGATTTAGACTCTAATTATAGCATTGTTCGGTCAAAGCTTGCCGTAAGTTGAATGTAGAACGTAAGCAGATTGTTAAATAGTTGAGTTTAAAGATGGACGTCACATAGCAGTGTAATTATTTGATTCCTGTGTATGTGCATCCGATTTAGATGAAGCTGAAGCCGACGGTGAGGCTCAGGAACAAGAAGAGGAGGCTCAGGCGGCCCCCGAGGAGGAAGCTCCAAAGAAGAAGCTTACCAACCAGTTCAACTTTTGCGAACGTGCTGCGTTGACAATAGCGAATCCGTCGAGGGTAAGAGTGACTCACATGTGGGTTGAATTTAACAGCAATTGAAAAAAATTTCATTTCAGTCCGTCGATACCCAAACGATCCCTCCGCCCCGTTCCAGCTATGGGTCCAGCGTGCTGCAGTGGGTTATTTACGACTCATATGCCGAGGACTACGCACAGCAGCAGCGTGAGAAGGAACGCGAAAAGGAAAAGAAACCGATGCTGCATAAGCGGGATGAAAAATCGCGTAAAGACGATAAAGCCAAACAGACGGAAGAATTTAACAAGCGCTATCTGCAGGCTTGTCAGATCATTGAGCGGATGGTAAATCAGAACATTTACGATGAAATCGCACAGGATTACCGCTACTGGGAGGATCCCTCGGATGAGTTCCGCGAGGAAGAGGGTACCCTGTTGCCGTTGTGGAAGTTCTCCTACGAGAAGACCAAGAAGATGTGCGTCACTGATTTGTGCTTCAACACGCTGTACTACGATCTGTTTGCTGTCTGCTTTGGAACATGTAAGTTAGAAACCCTTTTTGTAGATGTTAACAGTCTTCCAGGAACTATCAAACGGATCTTGATGTAACGACACATGCTGCGTCTGATTGATTGATTGACTGATTTATTGACGTATTTGGCACGACACATTTTCCTCCAAATAGAATAAAACTATCACCGGAAGGCACCCGCTACGGCAGTTGAGTGAAAGAGAAACAAAATCTGTCCATCACTTCGTGCGGTGGATGTCATTCGAATTGATGAAGACATCATTAGAAGTTGGATTCGGTCGGGTTGGGCTTATCGACGGAGATTATTTATGGTCCCAATCTGACACAAACAATGCATGTTTGTGGGTTTCCCTTTTCCCTGTTGGTATCCATCCTCTTCTGATGGTTGGAATGGGAATTGAAGCGATTGGGGAGTTTGGCGTGTCAATCATTTGCATGATTTTTTGACGGAGATTGATTTTATCGGGATGATTTACGTACATGAAGTTAGTTAATAGAGTTGTGGTTTTCCGTAATGTATGCGACCATGTTTGAAAATAAATCATACGTGCGACATATCACATTTACAGAACAGCGATACGCAATATATGGATCGCGAAGCACCAAAGCGATAGTAGTGAAAAGTTTTAATTTTTTGATCGATGGAAGTTTATAGAAATGTTTCAAAAATTCACAATTTTACAAATTCAGACCAAATAGCGAAATAATCGAATTTCATGCTTCACCTCTCCAAGTTCCAAGAGACATTGAATAATTGTTTTTTTATGGGAAATAAATGAAACTTGTGCTGGAATTCGGCTATATTGGCTCGCACTTAATTTTTCCAAATAAAGCCGGAAAAAATCAAAAGTTTTTCTTTTGTCACTCTATGCTCGCACCAGTCGGGGTGGGAGAGGAGGGAAATAAAAAAAAATAAACCAAAAAAAAACATTCAAAATTCGTATTACATCACATCTAAACCGTGTATTTCAAGCATTTACATTACTTCTTAGCCTTCGCTTTATTCTTACATTTCTTTGAAGCCGTGATTTTTGACAATAATGCATAACAGAAGCCACAAATGTTGACTTTATTATGTGTAACACTCAGGTTATCAACAAGACATCACAGCAACTGATCTTTGGGTTTTGATAAATTCCGGGTAAACCATCAAGCGGAATATCACAAACGTTATTGATCTTATATAAAAAGTTCTGTTTTCGATAGTTCCTCCTTAGTCAAATATAACATGGCAGAACTGGAATTGATATGAAAATAATAAAAATATAAAAATATATGAGAGTTTAATACATGATGTACCATCATGTATGGATTCAGCAAGATCCAGCATATAAAATCTAAGCCAAATCTATCTATTTTTCGAAAGATGGAGCCAAAATCCATCTTGGCTGAACAGGAAATCCGAGCTTCCATTAAAATACGTATTTTTGTGAATTTAAACTCGGTTTTCACAAAAAATTCAAACTCACGTATGGATTCAGCAAGGTCCATTCTATAAAATCCAAGTCTATTTTTCGAATATCGGAGCCGAAATTCATCTTGGCAGAACAGAAAAAACATATTTTTTTCATGAAAATATGTACTTTTGTAAATTTAAACTCGGTTTTCTCAAAAAGCCTATTTTTCAAAGATAGGAGCCAAATTTTCAGTGCGGCAAAACAGAAGAATCAAATTTCTATAAAAATAACTACTTTTGTGATTATTAATCAGGTTCGTCCTTCACGTACGGATTCAGCAAGTTCCATTCTATAAAATCCAAGCACAAACGATAGAACCGAATTCCAACCTGGCTCACAAAAGTCTATTCTATAAAATCCAAGACGGTTTTTCAAATCTTGGAGCCAAAATCCAACTTGGCTGATCAAGAAACCCAAATTTCTATAAAAATAAATACTGTAAACCCAGATTTCTCAACAATTGTGCTTGCTTAAAAAAATCTACCATCAGGTATGAACACACGAAGGTACATTCTTTAAAATCTCAGCCTAATTTTTAAAGGATGTGAATCTCACAAGAACTAGGAGGGGTCTAGGGGGAGCGAAATCTACGTTAAAAGTTAGTTAAATCACTTCAGGAAAGCTCAGACTAACATTAATCATAATTCAATCACTCAACAGAAAAGTTTGGACTCCCTAAGAAAGGTATTGAACCACTTCAGAAAAGGTTGGACTCCGTTTGGAAAAGTTAAGCTCAACGAAGTGTCGGTTCACTTCGGAAAACTCTCTACACTTTTTTTCTTTGGTTTGTTTTCCGTCGATCTTGTTTACCAATGCTGCCGACGCCAGGGAGGCAGCTTCTACACCTGGACCCTAGCTATCGATCCATCAACTCATGAACCGGGGACCAACGGCTTTGCTTCCTTTCCGAAGGCCCCAGATTGACCGGATTAAACCAATGCCTGCTGGGGTGAGAGACAATCACGCTTACCACTACACCACCGACGTCGCTAACTCTCTACACTTTTGTGTCGTTGCCAAATGCCAAAGCAGTTAACAAAAATCTAGCGTTCACTTAGTAAAATGTCAAACCCGTCCAGACAAGTTTGGATTCAGTTCGGAAAAAGTTGAATCAATGCAGGAAACCTTGGATTCATTGAGGAAAGAGATTAAATCAGCAAATGTGGCCTCACTCCAGAAAGTGCGATACCAATTATTTAAAGCTTGGGTTCGGGATATGTTGGATCACTTCAGGAAAGCTTTGAAAACTTACAAAAGGATTGAATAACATAACAGAAAGACTCAGTTAGAACAATTTTGATGACATATTCGACTCAGTTTTGAACCTTTTTTGAAAAGTGTCACCTCAATTATGAATTTGCTGAATCGTTTCTTATTTGGTCTCACTTCTAAAAAATTTGAACCAATTTTGAAAAGATTGGATTTTGCTCGGGAATTGTTGAATCACTGTAGAAAAGAATTTAATCATTAAGTAGCATTGCAGCAGGTTTATAAGTTAAGAAATTTAGATCGAATGCGAAAACCGGGCTGGAGGATAAGTGTGATGTTCCCGAGAGCCTCCGGACACAGAAGATGGCGAAGTTCACCAAGAAGTTCTTAATTTGGCAAGCGATTTGTACTTGCGGAAACCGGAGTACACCTTTCATTACCGTAAGTACCATGAATGGACTGGTGTATTTGGAAGATTGTCTCCAAAAGCGGCTTCTCCCTCTCCTGAAGGCTTACGACAGTCCGACCTTCTGGCCGGATTTGGCATCATGCCACTACACGAAGGACGTGCTAGAGTGGTATAAGGCGAATGATGTCGATTTCGTGCCGAAAGATCTGAACCCCTCAACACTTCGGAACTGCGCCCAATAGAAAAATACTGGGCCACTATGAAGGAGCACCTTCTAAAACGACCTAAACTGGTGAAGAATGTAGAATAAATGAAGAAAGCATGGGTTAACTGACATAACCCCAAGGCTGGAAAATGCGTGTCGATGCATGTTGACATGGCTGGTTCTCAACAGTACAATGACCAATCGTTTTGATTCAGCCACCAATCGAAAGATATGACTATCTAATTTTATTTTGAATAGATAAAAACCCAATTGAACCTGTGGTTGGCCAGCCGGAACGGAAAAACCCGGAAAAGTCCCGAGCAAAATGCGTGTCGATTCATGTTGACATGACTGGTTCTCGGAAATTTGGGTACCACATCTTAAGATTGAGCCACTACTTGAAAGGTATGACTATCTACTTTCAAACGGAACAGACAAGCAACCGATTGGAATTGTGGGTGGCCAATCGGAACGATAAAACCCGTGAAAGGTGGCTCATTGGAAATGCGGATTCACCGGGAAAATGGTCAATTCCTGAAAGTAGAGCTAGAGATCCGTGATTTTTTTTTCTAAATTGCATATAATCATAAGCATAGAGGAAATATACCATCGCCATATCGATTTTGCAACCAAGTGGCCATGAAACGGTCGTCTGGATATCCGGAATCACCGGGAAATTAGTCAATTCCAGAAAGTAGACCTCCGCGATTTTTTCTAACTTGCATATAATCATTAGCATAGAGGAAATACGACATCAACATATCGATTCTGCTACCGAGTGGCCAGAATACGGTTCTCTGGATATCCGGAATCACCGGGAAAATAGTCAATTTTTAAAAGTAGACCTGGAGATTCGTGCTTTTTTAGGAAATCTGAAGAACCCTTAGTTAAGAAGATATATCTCAGTGACATATTCGTTTGGTTCCCTGGTGAGTATTAAACGTCTTTCTGGATATCCGGATTCACCGGGAAATTGGTCAATTCTTAAAAGTAGTCCTAGAGCGGCGCGATTTTTTTCTAATTTGCAAACAATCATGAGCATAGACCACATATACCATCACCATATCGATTCTGCAACCAAGTGGCCATAAAACGGTCCTATGGATATCAGGAATCACCGGGAAATTAGTCAATTCCAGAAAGTAGACCTAGAGATCCGCGATTTTTTCTATATTGCATACAATCATTAGCATAGAGGAAATATGACATCAAGATATCAATTTTGCTACCGTGTGACCAGATTACGGTCCTCTGGATATCCGGAATTACCGGGAAAATAGTAAATTCTAAAAAGTTGACCTGGAGATCCGTGAGTTTTTCGAAAATGTGAAGAACCCTTAGTTGAGAAGATATATGTCAGTGCCATATTGATTTGGTCCCGCAGGGGTTATTGAATGCCCTTTTTTTTCTCCTTTATTAGAGAGATTTTTAACCATAGGCTAGTTCATCTCTGAATGCCCTTCTGGATATCCGGATTCACCGGGAAAATGTTCAATTCCGGAAAGTAGACCTAGAGATTCGCGATTTTTTTTAATAAATTTCATACAATCATTAGCATAGAGGAAATAAACCTTCACCATATCGATTATGCAACCAAGTGGCCAGAAAACGGTTCTGTGGATATCCGAAGTCACCGGGAAAATAGTGAATTCTTCAAAGTAGACATAGAGTTCCGTGTTTTTTTTCTAGATTTGCTTACAATTATGAGCATAGAAGAAATTTGTCATCATCATATCGATTCTGCTACTGAGTGGCCGGAATACGGTCCTCTGGATATCCGGAATCACCAGAATAAAAAGTCAATTCTAAAAAGTACACCTAGAGACCCACGCTTTTTTTCTAAATTGCATACAAGCATGAGCATAGAGGAAATATGCCATCACTACATAGATTATGCTGCAGGATGGCCATAAAGTGCCCTTTTGGATATCCAGATTCACCAATCCCTGAAAATGGTCCTAGAGTTCCACGTTTTTTTTTTCCTAGAAATTGCATACAATCTTTTTTTTAAGCTTTATTAGAGAGATTTTTAGCCGCATACAATCATGAGCTCAGAGGAAATATGCCATCACCATATCTATGCTGCTTCCGAGTGGCCAGAAAACGGTCCTCTGGATATCTTAAATTACTGGAATCAAGGTAATTTTTTTTTAGGTAGACCTAGAGATTTATGATTTTTTAGAAAATATGAAGAACCTTCAGTTGAGAAGCGATATCTCAGCTCTATATTGATTCAATCCCCCGGTGGCCATAAAACGCCCATCTGGATATCCGGATTCACTGGGAAATTGTTTATTTCCCAAACTAGTCCCAGAGATCCGCGATTTTTTTCTAAATTGCATACAATCTTGAGTATAAAGGAAATATGCCATCCCCCTATCGATGCTGCTTCAGGGTGGCCAGAAAACGATCCTCAGGATATCTGGATACATCGCGACTATAGACACTGTATATAGACCGGACGATGTAAAATCATGCAATCTAGTAGCCCTGATGAATGTCATTAATTTGAAAAATAAATCTGGCATATTCAAGGAAGGAGCCAAAATCTATCTTGATTGAACATAAAAACCAAAATTACGCACTTTTGTCAATTTAAACCTGATTGAAGCAAAGTCCATTCTATGAAATCCAAACATAACTTTCAAAGGACGGTATCAAAATCCAACTTAGCAGAAAAGGAAACCTAAATGTCTAAAAATAACTTTTTAAATTACAAACCCGGTTCAACATTCACGTATGGATTCAGCAAGGTCCATTCAATAATATGTAAGCTTATTTTTCAAAGATATGAGCCGAAATGCAATTTGGCAGAGCCAAAAAACCAAATTGCTCTGAAAATATGCATGGATTCAGCAATTCTATAGAATTCACGACTATTTTCAAAGGAAGGAGCCAAAATTCAACTTGGCTGAACATGTGTTGCCTGTTCAGCCAAGTTGAATTTCGAATGAAAAGATGATGATTAAAATACGTACTTTTGAGAATTTAACCCAGTTTTATAAAAATGCTTCAAGTATGTATCATCATGTATGGATTCAGCAAGGTCTATTATAAAAATCCAAGTCTATTTTTCAAATATCGGAGCCGAAATTCAACTTGGAGAACAGAAAATCAAATTTTCTATGAAAATACGTACTTTTGTGAATTTAAACTCGGTTTTCTCAAAAATTGAGAAATTCAACCCTCACGTATGTATTCAGCAAGTTCTATTCAATCAAATACAAGCCTATTTTTCAAAGATAGGAGCCAAATTTTCAGTTCGGCAAAACAGAGAAATCAATATAGGGAAGGAGAAAGATTAGTAATTTCCATTCAATTCCATTACCTTATTTACTTATCCTTGACAGATTTTCACTTAAAAGCTACGTAAACTTAAATTTAATTTCCTGTAGGAGCAGGTAGTAACTTGAAAAGCCAAATGTGTCCGGTTCCTTGATCCCTGTTGAGTAAAGTTGAATTCCGTTGTTTGTTGATCTCGAGGCTCTCTGCAACATGCAGTTTCCATGGTGTAGATACGGTTCGTAAAATCGTGATCTCCTCCGTCGATAGTTGGTGGTCCTCTGTGAAGATGTGTTCTGCAACCTTTGATTTGAAATCATATGTTAGGCCTTTTTCCTCTTGCTGTTTTGGCCTTATTAACCTCCGCTATATGTTCTTTAAATCTAGTTGCTAAAGTTCTCTTGGTTTGTCCTACGTATATGTACTTTGTTACAATGATAACAGCTTATTTTATATACACCTGCTTTACCTAAAACTTTAACTGGGTTTTTAGTGGATTCTAACAATGATTTCAGCTGGTCATGTTTACTGGTAAAAACTAAATATAATCCGAATTGTTTTAACTGTGGTCTTAGCTTACAAGTAATATCTTGATCAAATGGAACGGACACTCGTTTCAAGGGTTCAGGTGCTGCGGTGAGGGTTGTTAATAGTCGCCTTTAAAGAATACTCTCTTTTTATCAATGATTGCATGGATTGTGGTCTCCTTGTATCCGTTGAGTCTCGCTGTTTCAAAGATGTACTTTAATTCCTTAACCTTTCCTGTATCGCTGAGTGGAAGAGTCTGCATCCGATGAATCATGTGGTGGAGGCGGCCATTTTCTGCTGGAACGAATGGTTGGAAGTATAGAGGATAAATATTCTGGTGCTTGTTGGTTTCCTGTAAATTACGCATTCAAGCGAAGATGATGATGACGATTCCCTGATGACTAGAATATCGAGAAATGCGAGTCTTTGATCATTTAAGCTTGTTAAGGTGGGTCACTTCATTGCGTGTAATTGTTTCTGAAGGTTTACTGAATTTTTAAACGGGTAAATCACAGTGAAATACATTTTTTCAGTTTTACCGAGTTGGGAAATATTTTTCAAGTTTCTATAAAATCTCCTACAGTTTACAAACAAATTTCATCGATTACCACCATTCACATCATTTGCCTGAAAACCGATCGACACGAATCCATCTGGGTGCGAATCACTTTATTTCCCGTAAAGTATGTAAACACCCATCATCAAAGTGTAGTAAAATCAAAATTAATTCAGGTTTTACGATTCTTCCAAAGGTATCGTTCCGTGTAGGAGAGTTTTTATGTTTATCGCACTTTTTATGCCTCGTATCCCGTGTCTGCAAACACCTTTACCTTGCGAATACCACAGCACGGTGATTTTAGTTTCATTGCCACTGCTGTATGGAAGAGGGCGGATTCTGTTTGCAAGATAACTTGGATACAACAGATGGGTGCTTGAAATTTAAATGTGGAAAAATACGGGGGCGGGGGCGAGCACGGAAATGAAAAAAAGAACAGTTGAACAACTTTTTATGCACCTCAACTCATTGAATTAAAAGGTACTCCTACTGATATCGTAAAATCCGTTTTTATTATTGTTATCTTCTATCTGTATTGTTTTTGCGAAGAATTCACTCCCAGCCATGCAGTGTGAGAAGAGGTAGGATTTGAATGTCGTAACAACTGAGCCTACCTACTGCAGAATGGTCGATGAAGGGAAAAGGCTTACCGCACCGTTTTCGTTGATTAACATTTTCCATTTTCTTTATTTCTACGCTTCTTTTCATGCCCAGTGGATTTCATGAAACAAGGCAACGAGGGAGCAGTATGTTTGTTCACGATTAAAAATCCTTCCTTTCCGGATTACAGAAGTAAGTATGGTTTGGAGTTTGCGCTCCACCACCTATCATCGGTGTTATTGCTTTCCGCACCCCGTCCTTGTTTGGATTATTAAAGAAATCATTACAACATTACGTTTCCTTCCCAGTAACGACCGAGAGTGGAGCCATGTGTTGCGATATCCATCCGAAGTATCCGTACCTGATTGCGATTGGACTGTACGATGGGAATGTGATCGTTTACAACCTACAGGTGGGCACCAAGGAACCGGTGTACATGTCCCACGGCGTCAATGGGAAGCACTCGGAATGCGTGTGGGAGCTCAAGTGGGGACCGGATATGCAGGATGGCGAGATTAACTTCTTTACCGTTTCCGGCGACGGGCGAGTGTTCAACTGGGTGTTGATGCAGAACAAGCTTGCCATTACAACGATTATATCGCTGTTTTTGGATATCGACCAGGTCGGAGGTCCAGATGGGAGCACCCTGAAGCTGAAGGGCTGCGGCATGTGTATGGTGTTTCATCCTAGTAATCCGGAGATATTTCTGGTCGGAACGGAAGAGGGCTACATTTTCAAATGTAGCACAGCTTATAGCTCCAAGTAAGTATGCGTTGTTACGTGAAGTTTCATTTGGGGAGTGGAGAAGATGAAAGGTAGACATTTATTTGACACCGCCCTCAACGAGGGGTTGCAGGTAAATCACGTTACGCTCTACCCTGATAAAAAATTGCCATAAGCGAACGATAACGCAAATGATATAACTATTCCACAAATTGTTTGGATGATAGCTCGATAGCTGCACATTGTAGACGAAATACGCGTATCTGTCAAAGTGGAATTTAATGGAAATTACTAATCCTTCTCTCTCTCTTTATACATTCCACTTTAGTCGATTAGATTTGGAATTTTGATAATTTATCTGCAGAGTTCTGTCAGTTAAATAATTTTGAACTAATTTCATAATATAAAGTGGAAAATTAAACTTTTTCAATTAAGCAATCAAACCTTCATGCCAAACACTGTCGAATGCTTTTTCTATGTCTAGAAGAGCAACTCCAGTTGAGTGGCCTTCAAATTTGTTTGAACGAATTAAATTGGTAACTCTTAAGAGTTGATGAGTAGTTGTATTTTTTTTCCTTGGATTTGTTTTCCGTCGATCTTGTTTTCCGTGCTGAGCACCAATGCTACCGACGCCAGGAAGGCAGCTCCCACACCTGGACCCTACCTATCAACCCATCAATTCATGAACCGGGGACCAACGGCTTTACTTCCCTTCCGAAGGAAGGCGTGATCAGAGATGTTATGCCTCAGAACATCCCGGCGGCGCCGACTGGGATTGAACCCAGGCCTGCTGGGGTGAGATGCAATCACGCTTACCACTACACCACCGGCGCCGCTATGAGTAGTTGAATGCCCATGGCGAAATCCAAACTGCTCATCTGCAAAAATTGAGTTCGTATTGATGTGAAGCATCATTCTATTCAAAATTATTTCTTCAAAAAGTTTACTTATTGAAGAAAGCAAACTTATTGGGCGGTAACTAGAAGCTTCAGCTGGATTTTTATCCGGCTTCAAAATTGGAACAACTTTTGCATTTTTCCATTTATCAGGAAAAAATGCCAAATGGAAACATCTGTTAAATAATTTTACCAAGAAAGACAAGGTACTCTCTGGGAGTTTTTTGATGAGGATATAGAAAATTCCATCATCACCTGGAGCTTTCATATTTTGAAACTTTTTAGTTATAGACCTTACTTCGTCTAAATCAGTCCCCCAGGAATCATCAAAAATAGTTTCACGAGAGAAAATATTCAGAAAATCCCGAGCAACCTGATTCTCAATAGGACTAGTAAGACCCAAACTGAAATTATGGGAACTGTCGAATTGCTTAGCAAGTTTCTGAGATTTTTCCAAATATGTGATCAAAATTTTACCACCTTCTTTAAGCGCTGGAATTGGCTTTTGAGGTTTTTGCATAATTTTTGTGAGTTTCCAAAAGGGTTTGGAATTTGGGTCTAATTTAGAAACATTATTTTCAAAAGTTTTGTTCCTCAGGGCAGAGAATCGCTTTTTAATTTGTTTTTGCAAATCCCGCCAGATAACTTTCATGGCAGGATCGCGTGTTCTTTGATATTGTCTCCTACGGACATTTTTAAGACGGATCAAGAGCTGAAGATCATCGTCTATTATGATTGAATCGAATTTAACCTCGCATTTTGGTACTGAGGCAGCTCTTGCTTCAACTATAGAAGTAGTCAGAGATTCAAGAGCATAATTAATTTCATCTTTGGTTTGCAAAGGAATGTTTCGATCGAAGTTATATTCCATAAATGTTCGATACTGCTCCCAATCAGCTTTATGGTAATTGAAAGTAGAGCTGTTGGGATTACAAATTATTTCTTGGGATATTTCAAAGGTTACTGGAAGGTGATCAGAACCGAAGTCAGCATGGGTAACCAATTGGCTACAAAGTTGACATGAATCAGTTAAGACCAAATCAATAGTGGAGGGATTTCTTGCAGAAGAAAAGCATGTTGGGCTGTTTGGATATTGAATAGTGTAATAACCTGCAGAACATTTTTATTACTTATATTCCATAAGTGTGCTAGGACGTATGCATCAACAGTACCTGTAGGTTGTTTCGTCAATTATGGCTACGATTAACCGTGATCCTTTTACCAAGTTACTGGAATAAGTCACGGGATAATTCCACCTATTACTCGTTCAATGTGAATTCGATCGTTGTCTTATTTTTAGTCAGATATTGATCGTAGTGTCCTAGCCAGGGTGCCTTCCATTCATTTTGACTAAAAAAATGTTTTATGAAATTATGGAATAATAGGATATTATGACGATATTTTGTATGTGTAAGTATTAAGAAAAGATTACACAATTTGTGTTTTACACATCAAACCTGCAAATTTAGCTTTGACAGAGTCACAATGAGCATTTTTTTGATCGCATCTTCGCGAAGAGTGAAGAGCTAAGAGTGGGTGAGATAAATTACAAAATCGCTTATTGCGACTCTCATGTAGCAAAATTGGCAGGTATTATGTGTCAAACACAAACTTAACAATCTTTTCTTGTTGTTTACATAATCAAAATATTTTCATAATATCTTATTATTCCATAATTTCTTAAAACATTTTTTAGTCAAAATGAATGGAAGGCACCCTGGTCCTAGCTTCAAGTCGAACGTGTTTATCAAGAAGTTGACAAAACACCTTCGAATTCGGAATTTTCAACGCTTTTTAGCTAAACTATTTTGCAAGCAAAATATCGCCAACACGAAAGGAACCCTTTTATTTTATTATGAAACTATGTTCTCATTCATTTCATCAGATATTCTTAATAGTTATGTTAAAACATGGTTGTTTATACATGTGGTTTAGAAAATTAATAAACACTTAGTATAACGGGTGTTCAATAAAAAATGAGAATGATTTCAATGCCGTCCAGCGCTCTTGTGAGAGCATCGCGACTAAGTTGTGTCGTACGGCTGACCAGGGCCCCATCTCCAATATTTATTGACGTTTTTTTGAAGAATGAACAGTATGTTTTTAATAAAAAATACTGAATTCGTTGAAAACAAAAATTTACTAGCTATATGACTGAAACAATTCTCATTTTTTATTGAACACCCGTTAAATATTTTCCTTAAATAAAAAACTATTCGTATCGGGACAATGCTTAACATGATTCGTCTTGGTAGTCTTGGCTTCTCCTTCTCTGTGTCGTCTGTTTCGTCTGGTTTCTGCTTGGTGGTGGGTGGCGCCGGTGGTGTAGTGGTAAGCGTGATTACCTCTCACCCCAGCAGGCCTGGGTTCAATATCCCAGTCGGCGCCGCCGGGATGTTCTGAGGCATAACATCTCTGATCACGCCTTCCTTCGGATGGGAAGTAAAGCCGTTGGTCCCCGGTTCATGAGTTGATGGGTCGATAGGTAGGGTCCAGGTGTGGGAGCTGCCTTCCTGGCACGTCGGTAGCATTGGTGCTCAGCACGGAAAACAAGATCGACGGAAAAAAACAAACCAAAGGATTGTTGGCAATAGATTTGCTTGTAATTGTATTGTTATTTTTTTCCGGGCAGTCACTTTGTAGATAAAAAAAAGTACACCATTTTTATCCGTGTGTAACTTTTTTATCCGTGGGTAAAAGTTGATGAAATTCTGGGTATAACTAGTTTGAAGTGAATTGTTTACATGTGCAAAATTTCATAACAATCGGTTAAGTGGTTATTGAGATGTCATCGAAACAAGAAGAAAATCGCCGGAGAATTTTGCGCGCCGTCATGGAAAATCCGACTGCGACCATGAGATGGATCGGAAGACAACTGGGAATCACCCATACAACTGTGTCTCGGGTGGTAAAATCGTTTAAGGAGTCCCAGACGACCGAGCGGCGGGCTGGAAGTGGAAGAAAATCGAAGACAGCTGACCCTGTGAAGGCCCGGAAGGAGCTGGATTATTTCAAGCGTAATCTGAACCTTTCGATTCGCGACGCGGCTCTGAAGGCAAAGTGTTCCGCCTGGTTCGTTCAGAAAACCATGAAACAAGCTGGGCTTCGTGTATTCAAGTTCCGGAAGGCACCGAACCGGCGTGATCAACAAAACACGGTGGCCAAATCCCGCGCAAGGAAGCTGTATCGAGAGTGGTTAACGAAACCGATGTGTGTGGTTATGGATGACGAAACCTACATCAAGGCAGACGCAAAGCAGATACCGGGGCTGGAGTTCTACGTTACCAAATCACGGTTTGATGTTCCGGAAGATATAAGGAAGAAGATAGTGGACAAATTCGCCAAAAAATACTTGCTCTGGCAGGCCATATGCCAATGTGGTAAACTGAGTAAAGCGTACATCACAATGGGTACCATAAACAGCGAAATTTACCGCACCGAGTGCCTCCAGAAGCGTCTGTTGCCCTTCCTGCGGTCCCACGGAGGCGAGACATTATTTTGGCCGGACCTGGCATCATGCCATCATGGTATAGAGACAATAACGATGTTTTTGTACCAAAAACCGCCAACCCCCCAAATTCACCAGAGATTCGTCCGGTGGAAAGATTTTGGGCCATAATGAAGGCCAAAGTTCGAAAATCGTCCAAGGTGTTTAAGAACGAGCTGGAGTTGAAGAAAGAATGGATGAAAGTGACCAAAAAGGTCAGCTCCACCATTACACAAAATGTAATGAGGGGTCTTAAGGGAAACGTGCGGGCTTTCAGCGATGGAAAGGAAATTGAGTAAAGTAATTATGCTGAAACATAATCCATATGTATTAGTTCATTCCCTGAAAGTTTCAAGAAAATCCGACTTAAAATAAATTTTTGGTGAACACTTTTGTCTGGTGCATTTTTTTTCGAGTACAGGCCTTAGAGGGTCATCTTCGATAGGCCGAAGTTGCATGCATTTATAGACCCAATATGAGTACAGTAGACCGACATTATATCCACTTACCTGGAAAGTTGTCATGTTTAAATCGTTGGTTTAACAATTTTCCGTCGTTTACAAACAATTAGAAAATCTAAACTTGCTTGTTGATAGTTTGCAGTTCAATTATTATATAAGAAATGGCATACAATGTAATTGAAGGCTTAATATTAGACTGAGGTTGGGAACATTAACCCTATTAATCCAAATCATTGCAATTTTTATGTAATTTACGATGTTTTTAATCAAAATTAAAGAATTAATAATTGTCAAATTTATATTAATATTAATGTGCAGGTTGTACATGCTAATACTATGGTGTAAATATATTGACATCACAGAGAGAAACAGCTAGTTAAGTGAGAGACGTCCCATATTACATAATCACCCGAATCTCAGAAGTTTGTCATTAGAATTGTGTAGGATTTGGAACACTAGGTTGTCCAAATATTTTGAAATGTCATAGCATTTGATTGGTAAACAAAAGAGATAAAGCAGTTTTAGAAGCAGTATGATTCTAGCTGGTTATATTATTCGGACACGCATTGTAGTAGCTAATTTCAACGATCTTCAACAGTCATAATATCAAACCTGCACAAGCCGTGTTGGTGCTGTGAACAACCTCGCTTCTCGGCAACGGGGCAGTCGTGCTGTGTCTCTGCATCTCTGTATTTTGAGGTTCGGTATTGGGACATTTCAATAAGCCTCAGATAAACTCGTTAAACTTGAAAGGAATTTCTGCTATGGATTAACGTTTGTCAAACACGTCGATATGCATTATTCATAATATCCCACCCGAAAGTGGTCGCGTCCAGCTGCATGGCGTGGAATATACTGTGGTAGAAAATTCATCTAGGCCTCGGGTTTGACTGAAAATCAGTACAAACACTTGATGAAAAATACATTTCCTTTCTTTTTTAATTTCCCATCGTGTTTTGACTGCTGTGAATGTGTACATTCAGATTTTTTTTACTTCAAATAGATGCTTCAACAGCATGAACTTTTTTGACTTTGTATCTGTATGATATAGGGTAAATATTGGCTTCGGCACCTACGACTATTCTCGGCAACCAATTTCCAAGCGGTAATTTCACAGCAGAACATCTTGTTAGATGCATTCAAACGATTCCTTGGTTAATCAGTTACAAACTGATTACTTTTTGATGTCTGAACAAATTTGTCATGTCAGATTTTTACATAATGCAGCTAATTTAGAGGTGCCGATAATAGGAGAACCGGTTAATATGTAAATCAAACGGAAAGGCTGCCGAAGAAAAAGAAGCTGCCAATAATTGTCACACTCACCTGGGAAGTTTGAAGCGTTGTAAAAACGATTATTGAAAATTTTGGACAATTAGGTCGATTGGAATACATAAATCAGCAGGTAGCAAAAGAATGTTAACAAACAGTTGTGTGCATGAGAACGAGACAATGTAAAAAGAAGCATGCACGCTGCTTAGACTGACGAGAATATGTAAATTCCCCTAAGCTTTTTACACGGCGAATGAGAACGACCCAAATTTGAGTTTAGTTCACTCACACACAATCGCCAAAAGTGCAGGAACTCAGCGATGAGTAAAATTTGTCTCATGTTTTCCCAGGTTTTTCCAGGATTTTCCAGGGAAAAATTCCCGAATTTAAGAAAAGTAAAGATTGGATTGAATCAGTCTATTGGTACTACTCCGAGACTGGATATAATTTTCGTCAATTTCCTCATTTTCCGGCAGATTTTTTAGGTTTTCCACAGGAAACCATGAGACAAATTTACTCATCGCTGAGTTCCTGCACTTTTGGCGATTATGAGTGAACTAAACTCAAATTTGGGTCGTTCTCATTCGCCGTGTATATTTAAGACCAAATATACAACGCACACCAAAATTTGAGCCTAGTCCAAAATTCCATTTGGAACATGTATAAATAACCCGGAAGAAGAAGGCTATTATTGATAATTTATTTTTCAATTCTATTCCTTTGCCATCCTGCATCATTCATAACCGATTCAAATAATTTCAGCAGCATAACTTTGGCAGCCTGAATTTCATGCTTCGTTAATAATTCACAACTCGGATAGCTCCCATCTGCTCATTGTCCCAATTAACCCGGCGCCCAATTTTCCTCTTCCGCAGATATCTGATGACCTACTACGCGCACTACCTTTCCGTCCACCGGATGGACTACAACAAATTCAACTCGAACATTTTCGCATCCTGCAGCGGCGACTGGCGCGTTAAGATATGGGAGGATATGAGACCGTATGTGAAATTGAAATTCTGAGCGCACACAGGGATATTAAATTTCTTCTTTCGGATTTTCATTACGCTCTGTTTTTTCTCTCTTTCCCATTTGTAGCGAACCGTTGTTCATCTTCGACCTGGGGGCCTCGGTGGGCGACGTGAAGTGGGCTCCTTACTCGAGTACGTTGTTTGCGGCAGTCACCACCGAGGGTAAGGTGTTCGTGTTCGACCTGAGCGTGAACAAGTACAAAGCGATTTGCGTCCAGGCCGTTGTTTCCAAGCGGAAGAACAAACTCTCACGGATTGCTTTCAATCACAAGCTGCCGTTTATCATTGTCGGGGATGACAAGTGAGTGACTGGTGTTGCCATTCCGAGGGCGGTCCGCTGTGAGAAGTCTAATGGTTGAAATTTGTTTTAGGGGAACAACAATAACACTGAAACTGTCGCCAAACTTACGTATCAAAACGAAGGCACCGAAGAAAACCGTCCCGGTCGATCCACACTCGTTGGAAGTGCAGAAACTGGACCGGCTGCTGTCGTTGGTGCGGGAGCTGCCGGAGGGCGAACTGGTGAAAGAGACGGTTTCAACTGTAGCTTCCAATTAAAGCGATAGTCGGTGATTTAAGTAGTAGACGATGTAGGGAGAGTGATTTTAGAGCAAATAATTTGAAAATTCACGGGTATCAGTGAAATAATAAAAAGATTTATTTTATAGCCAGTTTCACTATAGATAACATGCGTTTTTCTTCGGATTGTTGTACATTGAATTAGTGTTTGTCTTGGAAGGAATAGTAATTGAATATTGTTTGTTCTTACATTGAGATCATTGAATGTGGTAGTTAGTCGAAAAGGTTTGGTTTCTAATGTTAACGTTCGATTTTGAGCTTTTTTTAAGAGACTTAATGATATTCTGTACCTTGCAGGTTAGTTAATGTGGTTTATTTTTAAATGTTGGGAAAAGTTATCCAAATTGTGGTGTTGATTCTTGTGAATGTATTGTTATGACTCAGTTGCATCTGGTTTAACGTGTAACAAGCATATTGACTCGAACACTTTATTCTAACTGATGGTGTTCCTATTTATATTGCACTATCGAATGATATTTACTTACATATTAAATAAGAATCAGCATTCATTTACAACATCATATCTTTGATAAAAGTATTGTCATCTAGCTGGTGTTTCAGAGCTTAGTTACTAATTTATGCTTATTATAAATCACTTCCTATGATAATCAATTTGCTTCTAGGGGCTATGAACTGAAATGGGAAAATCAGCTGGGTACACTTCCTATAAGTGGAGCCTCCCTTAGCTCAGTCGGTAAAGGCGCAGCTACAAAGCAAGACCATGCTGGAGGTGGCTGGGTTCAATTCCCGGTCCGGTCTAGGAATTTTTCGGGTTGGAAAATTTCTCGACTTCCCTGGGCATAGAAGTATGATTGGACTTTGCCACACAATTATACCAATGCAAAAATGGTACAGGCATCGAAAGCTCTCAATTAATAACTGTGGAAGTGCATCTTAGAACACTAAGTTGAGAGCACGCAATAAGCTAATATGCGATATGCAATAAGCTTGAAATGCGAAGAAAAAGAAGATGAAGACACTTCTTATAATCGCATATCAGTCCCATAATTCAGTTTGTCTCATTAAGCAAAATAATCGAATATCAGCCCCATCAATCGTCCATAGTTCAAGTTAAAGTTTTGCTCTTCGAAATCATAGGGGCAAAAGTATATGATTAAATCAGTGCCAACATTTCATTAGGGTGAAACTGATTTTGTAAACAATGACTTCAACAGTCGATTTCTCGTAAATAAAAGCTTCCTCGCGCAAATTATCGATTCCTCTCATCTGCCTAATAGAGAGGATCCTTTGCGTGAGTTTTTAGTAGTGACAAATCTACGGCTAAAGTCATATTGAGGATTCACTTAACTCTTTTTTTTTTCCAATGGTAGCACAGTTGTTCCACAACTTTGGCGCAAAGTATCACAACCGTATGTATTGTGTGAAGCTCTTTAGAAATTGTCAATCCGGCCCTAAATAGTCAGCATATTGTCAAACTAGAGCTATTTATTTAATGAATTGCATCAATTTAAGCAAAATGGAGCAACTTTTGTACAAGCACTTGAAAAAAAATGCATCTAAAAACAGCGAAAACTCTTCTGAAAATGAAAGCTACACATATCACTACGGAATTCTTTTTTAATTCCGTAGAAATATTTGATCACCCTAGGATTCTTCGCTAAATTCTTTTGCCATTTATATCAGAATAGCCTATAAATTCTACTCCCAATTATCATGTAATTCTCTAGGAAATTCTCTTCACTGAAAATCCCCTTAAAATTCTCCTTTTTTTATATCCATTTCATTTATTTGGAAGGCTCAATCGCGTTAGCTTTATGGAGCCGATAATTCATTGTTCACTGTTTGTAACAAAATTCACTTAATTCTATGTCTAGTAGAAGTTGGGTCGAATACTCGCGGCTTACTAGAGGTTAGATGGGTACATTGTCGAAGGATTGGATCAAGGGAGGAGCTTAGGGGTGCGTTTTCGTTGTCTCATCAGAGCGTTGTCGCCAGTATGAATGGTAGTTCGATTCTAGATTCGTCTGGAGTTCGACCGGCTATGGTGGGTGACCAGTGGGCGACGATGAGACGGTGGGACAAAACAAAAAAAAAATATTGAATTTTCCTAGGAATTCCTATGAAATTAACCGCAGAATTTTCATGAACATATCAGAATTGCCCCATGATTATTCTGGGACCATCCTTTAAACTCGATTTCCGTGTAATTCTTATGGGAATTCTTTTTGATTTATTCTTCTAGAATTGCGTTCAAAATGTTAATTGAGTTATTCGGAGAATTTCAAAAAAATCTTTAGATTCTCCTCAAAATTCCCTTGTACATATCCAAAGAAACTCGATTCCTTGGAAATCTCATCTGAATTCTATTTTAATTTTCATAGAAATTATTGCACCAAAGTAGAACGTACCACTTTTTTGCCTAGGCCGGAAAATTTTTTATATAAAATCAGAGTTGGTTGGAAATGCTAACATGAAGCTTTAGTGTGATGATTTATTAGCTAGAGAATGATCTTTAGAAGAGGGTAGGTGGATAGTTCCGTTAGAGTACGGCAGTATGAAAATTGAATAAAGTTGAAAATGAGCAAAGAGCCATTAATGCGACAGTTTTTAAAGATAGACGCACATTTTTGCCTAACCCGTACGATGTACGCGGGGACTTGAAGTAAAGGGTGATACGGTCAAAATTTGTTCAATATCAACTTGACGTATTTCTTTCAATTTTGCATTTAAAAAACCTGAACACCCCTCATTTTGAAGGTGTGTGTGTAGAATATTGCTCCTATTTTGATTTTGGAATTCACTCTTCAGTTGTCAAAATGCCGTCCAAGCAAGAAGAGCAGCGTATCAAAATTTTGCTCGCGCATCGCGAAAATCCGAGCTACTCGCACGCAAAGTTGGCAAAATCGCTAAAAGTTGCCAAATCAACCGTTACAAATGTAATTAAAGTGTTTGGGAAACGTTTGTCGACAGCCAGGAAGTCTGGATCGGGGGGAAATCGAAAACCGGAAGCCGCTGAGACGACAAAGAGAGTTGCCGGTAGTTTCAAGCGAAACCCTAACCTCTCTCTCCGAGATGCCGCAAATAAGCTGGGTGTATCGTCTACAACCGTGCATCGAGCCGAAAAACGAGCCGGACTATCGACTTACAAGAAGGTAGTGACTCCAAATCGCGATGATAAACAAAATACGACGGCCAAAGCGCGATCCCGGAGGCTGTACACGACGATGCTGACGAAGTTTGACTGCGTGGTAATGGACGAAGAAACCTACGTCAAAGCCGACTACAAGCAGCTTCCGGGAGAGGAGTTTTATACGGCAAAAGGAAGGGGAAAGGTAGCAGATGTTTTCAAGCACCTGAAACTGTCAAAGTTCGCAAAGAAATATCTGGTTTGGCAAGCCATCTGTACCTGTGGCTTGAAAAGCAGCATTTTCATAGCTTCCGGGACTGTCAACCAAGAAATTTACGTGAAAGAGTGTTTGAATAAACGTCTGCTGCCTTTCCTGAAGAAACACGGTTGTTCCGTACTGTTTTGGCCGGATTTGGCATCTTGCCATTACGGTAAAAAGGCCATGGAGTGGTACGCCGCCAACAACGTGCAGGTGGTTCCCAAGGACAAGAACCCTCCCAACACGCCAGAGCTCCGCCCAATTGAGAAATACTGGGCTATTGTCAAGCGGAACCTAAAGAAGACCAAAAAAACTGCTAAGGGCGAGCAGCAGTTCAAGGCAAACTGGCTTTCTGCGGCGAAGAAGGTGGACAAGGTGGCTGTACAAAATCTGATGGCAGGGGTCAAGCGTAAGGCCCGGCAATTCGGATTTGGAAAAGCGGAAGCCTAACTGAATATTTTTCCTGAATTTTATACTAATTGAACTTGAAAAAGAAATTTAATTTGATTTTTTAAATAAACGATTTTACCGATTTACAAGCGTTTTCCCTTGACCAAATTTTGACCGTATCACCCTTTATGTCTCCAAGTCCACAGGCAAAAACAAAACTGTCGCATTAATGGCCCTTCGCTCATTTTCAACTTCTATTCAATTTTCATACTGCCGTACTCTAACGGAACTATCCACCTACCCTCTTCTAAAGATCATTCTCTAGCTAATAAATCATCACACTAAAGCTTCATGTTAGCATTTCCAACCAACTCTGAAAATCGTTAACTTCGCGTATGAAGTAACATAAAAAACACTTTCAATATATAAAATTTTCAAAGTTTGATCACCGCCAGTAGGGAAAATGGGTGTAATGTCGTCCTAAATTCCCCGTAATTTGGGCCTATACATCAGCAGTCGACTAAACTTTCAATGGCGACCAAAAATATCGATTAGTACCGTCCCAATGACGCGTTCATCTAGATAAAATTGATAAATAACAGATTTTTAGCGATAGACCCAATCTTAGATCCATAGGCCAACATTAGATCCATTTCCCCTATGTTGATATTATATGCTGTGGTAAATTGTTGCGCTATATTATATTCATCTGAAATTTTATATTTACTGACCGGATTGATGGGACTGATTCAGCGTGGAAGTCTAGTTTGATCTAAAATGCCATTATGGGTGGCCATTAGACACTATGTCTGGAATTGTGGGGGCTCACCCTCCAAATGATAGCCTTGGATGTTACAAAAAAAAAAAACGATCAGATATGAAAAAAAGGTTTAATTTTTATAGTAATCGCTGAACAAATATATCTAATGCTTCGAAATTTAGTGTAATCCTACCCTTATATATTTTTTTACACATTCTTTAGATTTTTAGAAATCCCAATTTTTTAAGCTATATTGGGACGAGGGAATTTCGAAGATGAAGGATGGATTCAGTAGTCAGGAGTATAAAAAGGAAGAAAAAGCAAAGATTATGATGGTAGTGGAAATTTAATATGTGGAATCGGTATTGTGAATGGAAGAAGTGTATAGAATTCAGAAAGAGGAGTGGTAACACTGGGCGGTCAGCATAACATTACATTATGTTTGGAGAAGAACAGAATCTGGTTCAGAATTTGGTGAGATCCATCCATTTAGTGAAAAAATTAAATGCAGGGGAAATGGCTCTAATATTGGGCTATGGATCTTAGATTGGGCCTATCGC